TTTTTTTTTTTTTTTTTTTTTTTTTCATAATTGTGATGAATGACTTTGCCTCAGGCTTTTGGATTTGAAGGCTAGAGGTGTAATGCAGGAATGTTAAGGATTGCCCCGGGGTATTTAATCTGATGTTTTTTATTGGGTAGGAGAATCTGAGTTTGTTTAAAACTATTATATATTTGTTTTTTAAACTTGAAATGTTTTTAGTTGACTACACATGTAACAGCCTAAGTCCATCGTTAGCAGATATTGTTTTCTTTGGGCTTTTTCTTTCAGGCTTCCCTTCAAGGTTTTTAAAACGCGTATGTTAGGGATTGGTTTTCACACCCTTATAAATTTTGTTTAGTTCTCCTCCCCAACTGATGTGGGATCTCACAATCCACCTCCCTTTGAGGCCAAACGTCCTCGTTGGTACTCATTCCCTTCTCCAATCAATGTGGGACCATCCACCCTCCTGGGGGGCCCAGCGTCCTTGCTGGCACACTGCCTTGTATCCACCTCATTCGGGACTCAGCCTCCTCACTGGCACATCGCCCCGTTTTTGGCTCTAATACCATTTATAACAGCCCAAGCCCACCGTTAACTGATATTGTCCTCTTTAGGCTTTCTCTTTTGGGTTTCCCCTCAAGGTTCTTAAAATGTTTGCTAGGGAGAGGTTTTCATACCCTTATAAAGAATTCTTCGTTCTCCTCCCCAATCAATGTGGGATCTCAGAACACAACACTCTTTCAGTTATATTAAATTGGGCTCATAATCATGCCATTCATCATCCACCTATACATGACAAACTCCTTCTATTGAAGCAATGATTGCTAATTTATTATAGTTGGTCACTGCTTTTTTATTAGGACATGGAGCTCAATGCGAAAGATCAATTCTAGAAGTGACTGTTTCATATCTGGAGTTTTTTGCTAAGAAATCCTGTTTCATAAAAGCATGATCTCTGAAGTCTTCAAAATTCTTTAGAGTTCTGAAGGATTGTTGAAAAAACTATCGAGTATATTTTGTTTTCTGCTTGACCCATGATATATTTGTATCAATGGATATATTTTTACCGTTATTGTTAATACTTTTGTTAGCAGGAAAACTCGATCTTACAAATAACATGTCTTGATGAATTTTATTTACATTCTATAGATACGGTCCGAAGTTTGTCAGTGATGTCTGATCTGGGAGTGCTCTCTGCATCTCATGATGGGTAAACTTTTACCTATTTATCAGTGTATATTATTATTCTTAATTTTTTTTATTTATGCTTCAAAATGAATTTTGTTTTGGGCTATAATTTTCTTAGATGAAGAACTTGTTTGTCTTGTTAGTGGATTGAATGATTGAAAATCAATGGATCATGCTCAAATAAAAGTACTTTGAAATGACACGGTTCCAAGATTAACTCTTCTTTCTCTTGTCAAAAGAGGTAGGATGAGAGATGAAATTGAATTTAGTATCTCTCGTTGCAATAGTTTTCTTCAAAATAAAGACAGTTTTTGAGTAGGGCTAAACATTTGAGTAGTACACTGTTGTAGCATAGTTGAAAGGTAGAGTGTTGGGATGCAAGTCATTATCATAAAGTCAGAGTACCAACATTTGATCTTTATCTATTTCACATGAGAGGAACATCTGGAGTATTTCTGGTACTAAGTGGGATAATGAAAATGATTGTTTTTTTCCCCCCTATTCTGACAGTTCCATTAGGTTATGGGCACTAAGTGGTCAAACATTGATGGAGATGGTTGGTCATGCTTCCATTGTGTATTCAGTGGATTCACATGCTTCCGGACTTATTGTTAGCGGGAGTGAAGACTGTTCAGCAAAGATATGGAAAGGTTACTACTTCTATCTAGAAATTTGTGAGGGTTTTTGTTTTTGTTATTTATTTATTTATTTTATTATTAATAGTAGTATTTAAAATTTAAGAAACCGAGTTTAACTGAGAAAAGTGAAAAAATATACTAGGGGATAAAGAAAAACAGCCCAATCAAAAGATCCTAGCAAGCTATGAAAAGGGACTCCAAAAGAATAGTCCAACATCCTTGGAAAATGGAGATATTGTCACAGCTTGTTCAGATGGATTGTTTGTGTTGGGGATAAAGAGTGTTCTTTTTATAAAAATTGCAGTTTGATATCACGAAGTTGGATTGCTTGTGTTGCAGATGGAATTTGTGTCCAGAGCATCGAGCATCCAGGTTGTGTTTGGGATGCCAAGTTTTTGGAAAATGGAGATATTGTCACAGCTTGTTCAGATGGAGTACTACGTGTGTGGACTGCAGATCAGGAAAGAATTGCAGAGCCCCAAGAATTGGAGTCTTTTGCTTCCAGACTATCTCAATATAAGTTGAAGAGGTACCCTGAACTGCTGCCACCTCCCACCCATACACACACAAACGAAGAGGAAGTTCCAAAATTCTTTACTATTCACCATTTTTTGTGCCGTGTCATATTGACGTCTCATATTTGTATCTGTGCTTCTTAGCTTATGTGTACCTTTATTGTTATGCTGACTGTCAATCTTGGATTCTAAGTTTTCTCTTTAACTTACTTGTGACAGTAAGAGGGTTGGAGGATTGAAACTGGAAGAATTACCAGGGATGGAGGCTTTGCAAATTCCAGGTCTGGTTGCAGTATTCTATTTCAATAAGAAACCAAGATGTTATCCACTTCTCTACCCTTTTTTCCCTTATTCTCTTGTATATTTGATGCAAAGTGGCTGGGTGCGGATTCTATGATTGCAAATGTGGACCATAGCTGTCATTTTCTGCATGACTTGTTAGTTTCTTGAAGTTCACAATATTTTGGCATCACAAGTGACATGTTTAAATATCACATTCTGATTATGAATTATACATTCATTATGCTAAATAATTTTTTTGGTTTCATATTAAGTATACAATAGGGTTATGAGTTATTTGAACAAGTTAGAAAATGTCGGTGGCTGTCTTCTTTCTAAACATTTTAATCTTCTTTTTGTTAATATTATAGTTTAAAATATAGAACTCAATGTTTTCCCCTCATCCCTAAACCCTAAACCCTACGAGGTTTTTGGTGTTCAGCGGTATTGGTAGAATTTCTAATATATTTGAATTTTCCTGGCATCAGGAACCAGCAATGGGCAGACAAAAGTTATCAGAGAGGGAGATAATGGTGTTGCTTATTCATGGAATTCAAAAGATTACAAATGGGATAAGGTAAATTTAGTTATCAATATGTCTCTACATTATCCATATCTTCTCATGACCAAAAGGATAAATTACGGAATATTTGGCTAGAGAGGAACAGAGAATTTTTAGTGGGTTGGAGAGTCCTTGAGAGGAGTTGTCAGCTCGTGCCAAGTTTAACACTTCTCTTTGAGCGTCTCTTTCCAAAGACTTCCGTAATTTATCCTTTTGGTCTCTCTCTCTTTTTTTTTTTTTTTTTTTAAAAAAAAAAAAAAANTTTTTTTTTTTTTTTTTTTTTTTTTTTTTTTTTTTTTTGACTTGTGCTCTTGTTGACATGATATTTCTTGAAACCTCATTTTGGTGACTGTCATATATCAATCCAATTTAGGGTTTAGGTGTTGAATCTTAACAGATTGAGGAAATTGGCATTTTGTAATTATTCATTTACTTTGAATATTACCTACCCTTTTAGCAGGTCTTGTAATTATTGTTTTTTCAGTAAGATTCAAGTCCTCTATTTGAAATTCATGAACTTGGGTTTTTCTGTCATCTGAATTATTTTACGAAAAGTGGAGCATCCGTAATGTATATATGTATATTCCTTAATTTGTAGATTGGTGAAGTTGTTGATGGACCAGATGATAGCCGAGGGAAACCTGTTCTTGATGGAGCTGAGTATGATTTTGGTCAGCATTTTAACTACTACATTTGATTTCTCTAATGACATCGGTGACATTTGCATATTTTATATCTTTAACCACTTTTTCATTTTATTTCTCTAATGACATCAGTGACATTTGCATATTCTATATGCACATTTAATCACTCTTTCAATTTATTGCTCAGTATTTGATGTAGACATCGGAGATGGGGAGCCTATTCGAAAATTGCCTTACAATTTATCAGGTGATTGTTTATTTTTTATTTATTTTTAGTGTTATTTTTTACTGCATTTTCATTTTGTTGTGTTTTTTTTTTTTTTTTTTTTTTTTTTTTTTTTTTTTTTTTTTTTTTTTTTTTTTTTTTTTTTTTTTTTTTTTTTTTTTTTTTTTTTTTTTTTTTTTTTTTTTTTTTTTTTTTTTTTTTTTTTTTTTTTTTTTTTTTTTTTTTTTTTTTTTTTTTTTTCCTTTGATGTCCAATGTAGTGGAATTGGAAGGCTTTCAAAATTCAAGTATTTGGTTGGATGCTGATCCCACAAAATACACTTCTAAAGGCCATATGAGTGGAGAGGACTAGTCTAGAAAATAGAAAAATTATATTCTTTCAGTGTTTATTAGCTTCTCTTATCTCAGTTATCACAATCTTTAGTTGAAGTCTAGTAACTTGACAAATTGAACACGGTTTCTCTCGCTGCGTGATTGAGAAATTGAAAGCCATTTGAGCGTTGTTAACAACTAAGTTGTTTTCACACACTGCATAAAGTCCTAACCAATGTCTATGGTTATTGTTCGTATGTGTCATTTTGTTGTAGCTTCACTTGACTTTTCATTTAAAATTCTATTGGACACTTTGTGATGACCTAAATTCCTATCCATATTTCTGATGTATCCACTTCCTGACTTCAACAATAAAACTTCAGAAAAGTCACAAGGATCTAGAACTGGGAGTGCATAGTTTCTCCTTTAGAGGCTCAAAGCTGTCATGTTAAGTCTCACCTCATTTGAATTTACTCTTTCTCGAGCATTCTGTTATTGGAGCATCAACGTTGAAATTTCAAATGAATTTTCTGCAAAATCCTACAGACCTATAGAAATTCTGAATTTTTGTAATAGCAGTAGGGGCAGGCCACTCCTTGATGACTTTATTTCTACCATTTGTACCATTTATTTCCACATGAAAATCTCAGTACTTCATAGTTACATCATAGTGAAGGGTATTTCTTAACAATAGAAAGAAAGAATGCCTGTTGTATTTGATGATTGGTACAGAACTAACCATGAAAACTTTCCAGATGATCCATATACTACTGCTGATAATTGGCTTCTCAAAGAGAATCTTCCTCTTGTCTATCGGCAACAAGTGGTTGATTTCATACTCCAAAATTCTGGAAAAACGAATTTTGTTGTTGATCCATCATTTCGTGATCCTTATACTGGCTGTGAGTAGTGTTCTGTGACAATACTGTGGAAAAATATTGGTTTTGTTAATGTGAACAATTCTCCTGTTGGCATTTAAAACTGATTTCTCTCTCTCTCTCTCTCTCTCTTTTTTTTTTTTTTTCTCCTTTTTGGTATCAGCTAGTGCTTATGTGCCTGGTGGACCTTCAAATGTTTCAGGTATGCACTTTTTGTCTAATGCTAACTGCTACATGTTTTTTTGTACTTCTTGAGGGATGGTGTGAAAAATCAAAAGTAAGTTTATTAAAATCAGATTCGTTTTTTCTTAGTAATATTTGAATATTCTATTTCTTGGCAGATGAATCACATAAACCTGTTTTCAAGCACATCCCTAAGGTATGCTATTATGCATTGGGGATTATGATTGTATAATTTATACACCACACCTAGGAATGTTCACTTGATTGAATGGCCTGCTCATCTCACTTTGCCATTAGGGTTCATCAATTGTCTGCTTTTTAAGTTTGTCTTTGGATGCCCCCAAAATCTGGACTTCAGAAATTATAACTCATTTTGAGAATTGAAAAGCTGGAGATTACAAGAGCATGTGAAAGTTCTTAGAACTACATGCTAGTTGATGCTTTGGGAGTAACCTTCACTTTTATTTGTCTGCCCTGTTAACTGAGATTTCCCCTTTTGGTTTACTAACTCAAGTTAATCAATATTTATTCTCATTTTAGCTAGGAATTGGTCTGGTTATAAATTGCAACTTGATAGTTCATAATAGATCTATTAAATAGTGATTTAGCTTTATATTAATAACTTATTTAATTCCGCATGTTAACTATATAATGTGTTGCTGGTTATATTATTATTGGTATCTTTAAAGTAGTTTGGCCATTTTTTCTTGTGTCGCTTACTCATTTGTTTTGTTATGTTAATTTTTTTTCTTTTCCTGCAAATTGTTGTTTTCCAGAAAGGAGCTCTTGTGTTTGATGTTGCTCAGTTTGACGGGATACTGAAAAAGATAGTTGAGTTCAACAATGCATTGCTTGCTGATTCGGTAGGTTCCTCTATCATATTACTTGCAACCAAACCTGTTCTTTCTTTGGATGTTAACTTAATGGTTGTCGTACTTGCTTTATTGTACCCATTTTCGCTAATCATACCTTTTCCTTCCTTGAAGGATAAAAAGAATTATTCTTTGCCAGAGATTGAGGTTTCCAGACTTGGCGCTCTTGTCAAAATATTGAAGGATACATCACATTATCATTCTACCAAATTCACAGATGCTGATGTTGCATTGTTATTGAATTTGCTTAGAACGTGGCCGTGTGAATTATTGTTTCCAGGTAAATGTGATTTTTCTGACTTTTGTTCTCCCCTTCTTCTCTTTCATTCCTTTACTTAGTCCATGCGGCTAAATAGGTGATATTGGTATTTATCCCAAATCTTTCATATTTAAATGATGATTTTTCTTATGCTGGTTCTGCAGTTATTGACACGCTACGGATGACTGTTCTGCATCCTGATGGAGCAATAATGCTTTTGAAGCTTGTTGATTCTGATGGTAATTTTATTAAGATCTTGGCTGCTCTGGATTTTTTCTCTCTTGTCATAACCCATACCAAGAATCAGATTCACTAATTTTTAAGATTGTTATGCATATTCTTCTCTCTATCCTTGTCCAGCAACTTATTAAAAAAAATGATTGATGATTCAGGAAGAGTGAAAACTAGAAAAAATGATTACCAAAATATGTGTGGTTGTGCTAGATTTTAGTTGGAGAAACTTTTGGGACGAATTATTAGATATTGAAAAATTGTCGATAACTTCTACCACTTGTTACTAGTGTTTGATATTCTTCCAAATGCCACTTTTCTTTTTCCTTTTTTATTGGTACTATAATTTTTATAAATAAAATACTCAATTTTGTGAATAAGAAGTTTTAGATAATAATTGTTCCAAGTCTTGTATTATGCAAATAATTTTAGGATACTGTAAACAAACACGTTTTGAATTTTAAAGAGTTTCCAAGCATTTATTAATTTATTTTTATTTGGTCAACTTCGAGAAACAAGTTTTATGGTATGAGCCAAACAAACCCTTTTTTCTAGAAATGATAACAAAATTTCAATTAAGATCCATGCGATTTTTTCATTGTAGTATTCCTTCTTAATGTTGATATTTGTGTTGAATTTTTGCCAGATATTCTTCTGGAACTGATTCAGAAAGTTACAACTCCACCAGCGTTTGGTGCAAATCTTTTGACAAGCATACGGCTCATAGCCAATCTATTCAAGAATTCAGGTTATTATGACTGGTTGCAGAAACGTCGTAGTGAGGTTTGAACTCCAAACCAATTTTATTTTACCTGTTTGGAATACTTTTGTAGTTTCTATATATATATATATATATAAACAAAAGATCAAAGAACATTCTGTTTGTTTAGATTTGTTGATTACTTTACTGTGTGATAGGTTCTGATTTTTCATCTTTTAATGTCGTTAAATAATAGTTTGTACTGTGTCCATCTAAACTAATACATTTCATTGGTTGTCAACCTAACATCCGAGACTTGGAAGGAAATAATTTGTTGGTGAATAGATTTCGTGGCCTGTATATAAAATAAACACTAACACATTAATTAATCACACGTCCTCGCGATTGTGAAAACCGGAAAAGCCCAATATTTACCTTTGTGCTTATGCTATAGATTCGCTAAATGATTTTGCAGATTATTGATGCATACTCAAGTTGCTATTCAGCTGCAAATAAGGCTGTACAACTGTCTTTTTCAACATTGATCCTGAAGTAAGTCTATAAACAATATATATATATATATATATATATATATATATATATATTATACTTATATCGGATTAAATGGAACGTGAATGATCATTACGTTTATGACTTATTGGGTGATCAACTTCCTGTTTATCATGGAGAATCCTCCTATTTCCATTTCTAATTGAAAATAATCTACTTCGGTCCTTCAGTTTCAAATAATTACAAAATTACGAGAAGAAAAAGCATCTCTTAAGTATTGTTTTTGAAATACCAAATGTGAAATATGTTTCATCTTCTTTTTCCATTTTTCTGATGAAAGCTAGGCCTTTTCATCTCCATCAGCTTGCCATTGTTGGATTTACTATATATTTTCCTCTGAAGTAATGCATAAGCTGACTGCTGACTATGAATGCTTCACTCTTTCTTTTTCTCTTGTGGACTTGTCAGTTTTGCTGTGTTATTAATTGAGAAAAAGGATTTTGATGGTCAGTGCCAAGTTCTTTCAGCTGCAATTGAGGTACTTCTTTTTTCTATACGTACATAAATCTGATTTGCTTCTGCTCTAGTTAAACTTCGGTGTCTGATCAGTGTAAAGTATGAACTTGTGTGAGCTTTTCTGATTACATGATACCATTCATTGATTTTGGCAGATTTCAGAAGAAAGTCTTGAAGCTGATTCAAAGTTCAGGGCCTTGGTTGCCATTGGATCTCTGGTATTTTCTTGCTTACTTTTCATTGTTACAATTTTCTTACTGAAACCATCTCCAGTGATCACAACCATTTACTTTTCTTCTGATATATCTGATGGTACTTATTTACTAATGCTTAAATTCAAAGTAATTTTCCTGTATTTTTCTGTAGATGATTGAAGGTGGTGATGATATGACAAGAACTGCACTAGACTTCGATGTCAAGAGCATTGCCCGAAAAGCAAGTGCTTCTAAAGATGCCAAGATAGCTGAAGTTGGAGCAGATATTGAACTGTTGATAAAAGATAGATAGATGACTTGGTATCTGCTGAGACGAAACTGAGGAAGAAGAGTACCCAACTCTGGAGCTGAACTCTGGAGCTTCAAACTGAGGAAGACTGATGGGAGTCCTTTGTCTTGTTGAGCCCCTCATTTTATACACCGGAAAATGCAGAGTTTCATAATGCATGTTTTCTTTGTACAAGTAAAGACAACATTAACTTGTTGAACCCCCTGCCCTGTCACTACTAACTCTGTTTGAAGGAATTATGAGTTCAATATAAACCAACAAAACATTTACATATCATTTCCATTTGGTGTAAAATTTTTGGTCACTCCACAAGAGCATTCTGTTGAGTGGAATTCTAAGGTTCCTTTGTTTGAGATGCAAATGCCTTGGCGCTATTCGTCTCTCCAGACTGAATGCAAAGTACTGCGGGAACTCTTTCAGTTCCTCCAGATCTCTCTCCATTTCATTCACCAAATACTCATACTTCGGCCTCAAATTCTCCTCTACACTGTACCCGAATAGCGCTGGCATTCTCCTGCATACTTTTGCTGCCTCCTCGTGTGAGAATCCCAACTCCTGCAAGAATCTGAATTTGCCTCTCAGCTTCTCCACCCGAGTATTCAACAGGTGCGATTTTAGATTGCTGGGCGTGTTCAGATTCTCAAGCCCTATTTGCTTCAGGAATCTGAGTGTTGGCCGGAGACACAACTCGACGTCGGAGAAGAGAAGCTTAGGGCAGCGGAGGATCATGCCACGTGATTCTTGGATGGAAGCGGATAGATCGGCAGCCAAGAAGTCGAAGACAGGAGCAATGTCGGTGGGATCGAAGTCGGGAGAGAAGAGTTGGGGGCAGAGGAAGGCAAGTGTGGGGAAGTCGGAGTCGGAGAAGCCCTTGGACTTGAGGAAATGGACGGTGGCGAGGATACTATGGACGGCATCGGGAGATCGGAACTTTGTACTATGGGAATCGAGGAGGCGGAGGGATTTGAGGTAACGGAGGTTATGGGAATGTGCAGTGCGGAAGTTGAGGAATGGAGGAGGAGAAGGAGGAGGAGAAGGAGGAGGTCTAGAGGTGGGAGAGTTGGAATGAGAGAGGGAAGAGATGGTGGTGAATGGGTGAGAGAGAGCTCCAACCGCCATGCCAATTGGCTGCTGCCTTCTTTCTTTCAGCGCCAATGATTTTCTGATAAGGTTCACACAAAATCCCTTTTTAATAATCATTTTCCAATACATTTTTTTAACTGAAAAATTCAAAATTTAAGAATAAAAATTGATTAATAATTAAGTTAATTTTTTTTTTTTTTTTTTACTAAAGTTAATTACATTAGCCTAATTGAATGTTAATATCTACTAAAGTTTTGTATTTATTTTTTCTTTTTTTTTTTATAGATAAAGTTTAAAATTTATAAGTATTTTTTTATAATTAATTTAGTGATATATATCTATATATATATATATATACATGTAAGATTCATTGATGGAGAATGAGATTAGGCATGTCTAACAAGTTTAAAATAAAAAACTAAGGAGCAGAAAAAAAATCTTCGCGAGGATAAAGCATGAGGTATGGTCGTTATTAACGCTGGCGGGGCAAGAAAGTGGAAACCCACTTCATAATTTCTGCAACAATGGAGGGATTGATCCTTCACAATCCAAACCCATATTTATCCAAAACCCCTTTTCTTCACTCTGCCTTCAGGCCTCAAATCACTCCAAATCTCTGCTGCAGAACTCTCTCTTTTAGCGTCACTTGTAAGGTGAAGGCATCGCAGGACAAGAAGCCGAAGAACGTCAGCAACAAGATTGTGCTCTCTGAAGCAGCGCCGCCGCTTGCGGAGGAGACTGATAACAATAATGGAAACAACACTGAAGCCGAAGTCAAGTCTGGAAATGGGAGTGGTTTGATGATGAAGCTTGTGAAGAGATTGCCGAAGAGGATTTTGGGGGCTTTGTCTAATTTGCCTTTGGCTATTGGAGAAATGTTCACCATCGCTGCCCTCATGGCTCTTGGTATGACCTATTTTTGTTGGCTATCTCTCTGTATTCGGTTTACTATCTGGATTGAATGTGGTTCTTTGATGGGAAAAAAAAGTACAGTAATCTTCCTTCTAAAGAATCATGACTCTCATAATGGTATGGTATGATATTATACACTTTAAGCATAAGCTCTCAACGCTTTGCTTTTGGTTTCTCCAAAAGACCTTATACCAATGGACATGTATTCCTTACTTATAAACCCATGATCATTCTCTAAATTTGTCAATGTGGGGCTCCCTCCCAACAATCCTCTCCTCGAACAAAGTACACCATAGAGCCTCCTTCGAGGTCTATGTAGTCCTCGAATAGCCTCTCCTTAATCAAGGCTCAACTCCTTTCTCTAGAGCTATCAAACGAAGTACACCCTTTCTTCGACACATGAGTCATTTTTGACTCCACCTCCGAGGGTAGCAATTTCTTTGTTCAACTCTTGAGGATTCTATTGCCATGGATAAATTAAGGGCATGACTCTGATACCATGTTAGGAATCATAAACTCTCCACAATGGTATGATATTATCTACTTTGAGCATAAGCTCTCATGGCTTTGCTTTCCCCAAAAGGTCGCATACCAATGAAGATATATTCGTTACTTATAAATTCATAAACTCATCATCATTTTTTAAATTAGCGAAGGTGGGATTTCCCTCCCAATAATCCTCAACAACAATATTGACGAACTTGTTGAGTTTAGAAAGCCCTTGGCTGCATCTGCTGTTGGACATGTATAAATGATGGCTTATTACTGAAAAATCAATCTGAGTTCATCATGTTTAGTATTCATTTGCAGGTACTTTCATTGATCAGGGAGAGGCCCCTGATTTTTATTTCCAGAAGTACCCTGAAGATAACCCTATGTGGGGATTCTTCACTTGGAGATGGATTCTCACTCTTGGGTTTGATCATATGTACACATCTACCATTTTTCTAGCCATGTTATCTCTTCTTGGGCTCTCACTCATGGCATGCACTTACACAACTCAGATTCCTCTTGTTAAGGTTGCAAGAAGGTTACAATACTCTCCCTCTTTCTCTTTCTTTAACACAGACACATTCATCTTTCTACCTTTTTTGTTATGAACATTCAAATTTTGTATGCAGATGGAACTTTTTGCAGTCCGGTGATGCTATTAGAAAGCTGGAATGTTCTGAAATTTTACCCAGAGCATCAGTCCAAGATTTGGGGGTTGTTTTAATGGGAGCAGGATATGAGGTTGTAACTCAATATGGATTCTTGCTTCTTATATGATTATACTATTTTATCATTCTATGTAATGGCCCAAGCCCACCGCTAGCAGATATTGTCCTCTTTGAGTTTTCCCTTTCGAGCTTCCCCTCAAGGTTTTTAAAACGCGTCTGCTAGGGAAAAGTTTTCACACCCTTATAAAGGGTGTTTCGATCTCCTCCCAACCGATGTGGGATCTTACAATCCACCCCCTTCGGGGCCAGCGTCCTCGCTGGCACTCGTTCCTTTCTCCAATCGATGTGGGACCTCCATCCGATCCACCCCTTTGGGGCCCAACATTTTTGCTAGCACATAGCCTCATGTCCACCCCTTCGGGGCTCAGCCTATCCACTGGCACATTGCCTAGTGTCTGACTCTGATACCATTTGTAACGGCTTAAGCCCCCGCTACTAGATATTGTCCTCTTTGGGGTTTCCCCTCAAGGTTTTTAAAACGTGTCTGCTAGGGAAAAGTTTCCACCCTTATAAAAAGGGTATTTCGTTCTCCTCCCCAATCTACGTGGAATATTACATAACATGCATGTGCTTTTTTTTACTTGAAATCATGGAAAGCAACTTAATCAGCATCAAACTCAGATCTTGGTCATGCTAATTTCAGTGTCTAAATTAAATCAGAAATAGATTATACCATACAAGCCAAATATGGTCTCTAGATGCTACTTCTTATAGCAAGCTTCTTGTCTTCCTGTTGGTAGCTCCCCAAGTGTGTAAGCTGAAAGTGTAGTTCACTAAATGACATCAATCATCATCAATTCTGCAGGTATTTATTAAAGGGCCAACTTTATATGCTTTCAAGGGATTGGCTGGACGATTTGCGCCTATTGGTGTACATTTGGCCATGCTTTTGATTATGGGTGGTGCAACTCTCAGTGCAGCTGGGAGCTTCAGAGGTTCTGTTACAGTTCCTCAGGGACTGAATTTTGTCGTTGGAGATGTTCTGAACCCGAGCGGGTTTCTGTCCAAGCCAACTGAAGCTTTCAATACTGAAGTCCATGTCAACAACTTCTACATGGATTACTATGACAGTGGAGAGGTATGTCTGGATGAAGAAACCAATAATAACGGTATAAAACTGGTAGAGTAAAAACTATCTTAGGAATCACAACTCTCAACAATGGTATCATATTGCCCACTTTGAGCTTAAGCTCTTATGCTTTACTCTGGGTTTCTCCAAAAGGCCTCATACCAATGGAGATGTATTCCTTACTCATAAACTCATGATCATTCCCTAAATTAGCTAGCGTAAGACCCCCTCCCAACAATCTTCAACATGCATGGGTTGGTCTTGTGATCAATAAGAATTAATGTAAGAAGTTCAAGTTACAGGGTCCACCTCCTCCTGTAGGATCAAATATTGTAGGGTCAAGTAGCTGTCCTATGAGAATAGTCGGGATAGGTGAAAATTGACCTAGACAACTGATTTTGCAGGTGAAACAGTTTCATAGTGATCTTTCTTTATTTGACCTTAATGGGAAAGAGGTGATGAGGAAGACAATCAGTGTAAATAATCCTTTACGGTATGGAGGTTTTACAATTTACCAAACTGATTGGGGATTTTCAGCTCTGCAAATACTCAAGAATGATGAAGGACCTTTTAACTTGGCTGTGGCACCTCTTAAGATCAATGGAGACAAGAAGCTTTATGGGACTTTCTTACCCGTTGGAGATGTCGATTCACCTGATGTGAAAGGAATGTATGTCGTTTCTTTTTGTAGGTTCATCATTATCTGATGCTTCTGATTCCGATATATTTGGAAGTAATTCTGGAACGGTTTAAACCACTTTTGTCAAGCTAAAAATTACTCTTAAACATGCATTTAGTCATTCCAAATCATTTCCGCCACGTTTTAAAGTATGAAGTCAAATGTTGAAATGATTTTGAATGATTAAATGCATGTTTGGAGTAATTTTCAGCATGACAAAAATGATTTTAAACATTTTAAAATCACCCTCAAACATGTCCCTATATCTATCAAGGGAAAGACCGGTTATATTGTGAGATCCCAAATCGGTTGGAAAAGGGAACGAAGCATTTCTTATAAGGGTGTGGAAACATTCCCCTAGGAGATGCGTTTTAAAACTATGAGGGTGATGGTGATACATAACGGGCCAAAGTAGATAATATCTACTAGCGACGGGGTTGAGCTGTTAAAAATGGTAGCAGAACCAGACACCGGGCGGTATGCCAGCGAGGACATTGGGCCTTCAAGGGGGGTGGATTGTGAGATCCCCCATCGATTGGAGAGGAGAACGAAACATTCCTTATAAGGGTGTGGAAACCTCTTCCTATTGGGCACATTTTAAAACCATGAGGCTGATGGCGATACATGATGGACCAAAACGAAAAATAGCGGTGGGCTTGGACGGTTATATATATATATGCCAAATTGAGTATCTTTTATGCATTTGGAGGCCATGGGGTCGGCATCTTGGTTCATACTACATCTGTAAACTTAAGGATGTAGTTTTTTGTGGCTATCCTTGTTACTTTGGATGGTATTCTCATCTTATATATTAATGATGTAATTCCAGATCAATGCTTGCTCGTGATCTGCAATCCATTGTCCTGTATGATCAGGAAGGGAAGTTTGTCGGGGTTCGACGTCCAAGCTCTAAGCTTCCGATTGATATCGACGGTATGAAAATTGAAATACTTGATGCTATTGGCAGCACTGGGCTGGAGTTGAAGGTAACGACTCGGAAACGTTCAGTAGTTTTCAGCTGGTGTGTCAAAACTGGATACTAACTATCATTGATATTTGCATATTTTTCTCCAGACTGACCCAGGAGTGCCTGTTGTTTATGCTGGATTTGGTGCTCTAATGCTCACAACATGTATCAGTTTTCTCTCTCATTCACAGGTAAATATGCTTTTCTTCAAGCTATTATTGATGCTCAATGCTAGAAAAAGATAACATGTTGTACTTACCATTTCTTTGGTTGAAAGATATGGGCCATACAAGACGGAACAGTGGTGATCGTCGGAGGAAAGACGAACCGTGCAAAGGTCGAATTTCCAGAGGAGATTGACAGTTTACTCGATCGCGTTCCAGAAATCATCGAACCATCTCACAATGGGTTGAATAACAATGATGCCTAATTACTAAGACAAAAATGGAACAAGCCAGCACTCATCAAAGAGAGCAACAAACAGTGTCCAACTACAAATTTTTGGCCTGAGATCACAGTTGGAAGTCTTCTTTCTTATATATACATATAGAGGACGGTTTTACCAATTTATAATTCTTTCATCACCGACATGTTACAAGTCAAATAATTTTTGTATATAATGTAACACAGGTAGCCATGTACTCCATTTATTATTAGAAAATATCCCTAATATCATATTAAATAGAGAAATCTATATAATGCATTTCTGTAATTTGAGGGTGAATAATCGACTCGAAAGTCCAAACGATACAACTGCAGGTACGATTCAGCGGTTTTTCAAGGTCGACACACTTGATGTACTCAAACTATGTAATGCATTTCTGTGAGGACTAAGATCTTTACTGCACAACATTACTGTTTTGATACAAGAGGGTATATGATTGATAAAAGGAGGGTATCACCTTTAGTCACACATTTACGATCATGCAACTCTTGTCTCTAACAAGTCAATTTGAACTTCTAACCTATAAATTTACGCAACCTGCAATGCTTCTTCACGCTTAATGTCGAAGATTTTGACAAGAGCATCTTCGACAACCTAGTCAAAAGAGTACAGACATGTTACGGTTATAAATCTATTGCAGATCCAATATGTACTAGCAAGCATATAAGCCGAAGTGTATGGCTAACCTTATCGGGGGTTGAGGCACCGGATGTAACACCGATTGTGATAGGACCCTTGGGTAGCCAATTCTCCTTCTCAACTAACTCCCCATGCTAACATGGATTAATCAAGGAAAGAAAAGGTGGGGACCTCATGCATGTTGTATATTCATATGCATAGAGCTACTTCTCCTAGAGATGACAAGTGCGGACAGAACAATATGATGATGAGTGCAAATGCGCACAGATGAGAGTGTTCATGAGGTTCATGACACTATGGAGTTCCGCTGACTTCCGGACGTTGCTATAGATTAGTTGACCAAAGGATCCAGGGGGTGTGCAAGCACCCTAGGGATTCACACTCGCACGTGTGAGTCGTGTGTAGGGAAGTACCCATTTAGAGTCTACGATGTTGGTGTTGGCAAGACGAGGAACCAAAGTCCAAGTATCATTTTGTTGTAACGCTCGAATTTCTTCATCCATGGCAGCAACCCAAGTAGGATTCTTAGCTGCAGATTTGAATTCTTTTGACTCAGTGAATGCAAGAAGAGCAAAAAGAAGTCCAGATGAGCCCAAAATACCAAGATTTGTTGGATGACGAGTCTTGAATATACCAACTTTGGCTCGTGTGATCATAGGATGAGTGCCCAAAGAAGAGGAATCAACAGTAGGTTCAATAGAGGTCGAATTAGAAGTAGAGGGAGGTAAAGTGGAACCTGCCAAAGAAGTATCAACCTGCACAGACTCATCAACAAGGTTAGAATAAATATCACACAGGGATAAACTGGATCGAGGAATGTGCGATGAATCAATATGATAAAGATGTAGTTCCAAGAAATTTGAAATAGGAAGAGAGGAAAATGGTTGGGCCTGGGAGCTAGGGATAGCAGTAAAGTGAGTTTCATCAAATTGAGCATGGCGGGTGATATATACCTTAGTGGTGGCGGGATCAAGACTGCGGAACTCTTTATGAGCAGGACTATAACCCAAAAAAATACAAGGAATGCTGTGGGGAAAAAGCTTGTTGGGCATATAATCACGCAAATAAGAACAAACACGACAACCAAAGGATGAAAATTGTCATAATGTGGAATGTAGTCATAAAGAAGTTCAAATGATGACTTACCTCCAAGAAAGAAGTGGAGTAGGCAACCGGTTGATAATATAAGCTGCAATGCTGAAGGCATCAACCCAAAAACGAGAAGAAGATGAGAGCGAAAGAGAAGGGTCAAGTCAATCTCAGTCACATGACGATGTTTTCTCTCAGCACGACCATTTTGAGCAAGTGTATATCGACAAGAGAGTTGATGGTGGATGCCAAAATTACGTAAATGAGTTTTGAAACAAGTGCTAGTAAATTTCATACCTCCATCGCTTTGAAATACCTTGATACGAGAAGAATATTGATTTTCCACAAATTTTTGAAATTGAAGAAAAATATGAAAGAAATCATATTTAAATTTTAAAAGATAAAGCCAAGTGAATCGAGAATAATCATCAATAAAAATAACATAACAAATAAAACCCGAATTTGATTTGACAGAGGAAGAACCCCAAAGATCACAATGAATAAGATCTAACACATGAGACGACCTACGTTATTTTGTATTACTTTTATTTTCTTACATTTCAGTATTTTGTATTTAAACACGCAAGATCATGGTTGTGTTTTCCAAAGAAAAAGTTATTTTTAAGTATTTTTTGAAGTTTATGCTATGAATGATGTTTCATGCCAGAGATATTTTCGCATTATAGATAAGCATGAGACGTTAGTAGCAACTCTGAGTATGTGAAAATTTAGAGTTATTACAAATGGTATCAAAGTCAGGCACCGAGCGATGTGCCAGCGAGAAGGCTGTTTCCCGAAGGGGGTAGACACGAGGCGGTGTTCCAGTAAGGACGCTGGGCTCCGAAGGAGATGGATTTGGTAGTGGTCTCACATGAATTAGAGAAAAGAACGAGTGCAAGCGAGGAAGCTGGGCCCTGAAGAGGGTGGATTGTTATATCCCATATTGACGGGGAGGAGAACGAAACACGAGAGTGAAAATCTTTACTTAGTAGAGATGCATTTTAAAGCCTTTTGGAGAAGCTCAAAAGGGAAACTCAAAAAAGACATGCTAAAATTTATTGATTTTGACAAGTTGAAGCAATGTCAGGTGAGATTCAGCTCCGGCAACGTGAAAGAACGAAGATTTGAAAGACGAGGATGTTGTATTTGTTGCTGGTGCTACTGGAAGAATTTGTTCAAGAACAGTGAGGTAAGTTCAATTTCTTGGTTCATATATTCGAAAGAGCGGCAAAATCATAACCAGGGAGCTTTTGAAGCTTGGATTCCACGTACGAGCCACTGTTTTTGGTGTCCAGATTCCACGGAGTACAACTACTACACTGTTGAATGTGCTTCTGCAACCTCAAAGTTGTATATTTTGGGTGTAATCTTCATCAAACTTGCAATTTTGTAAGCTTTACCTTCGTTTTGGTCATTGATCTACAGTGGGTTCTTCCTGAAATACTATTGCATTTTCTTGAAAAAGTCGATCGATAGAGTCCGATGAAAAACCGGGATGAAAGCGTTGCTCCTACAACTACTTCGGCTTATCTTTATCCCTCATTTCTGTCCGATTCTACTTCTTCTCTTTCATCCCGCCCGTTTGAAAGTTTAGGAGATCGATCAAGAAGATTTAGTAGTTATTGATTTGAAAGTTTAGAAAATTGATGATGCAATCTCCCCTATAAATACTTCAACAAAAAAAAAAAATTAATAAACCATGAGTTCTTAAGATTTCTCTACTCAAGTTGTTCTCCCGCTTCAATTATTTGTTTTGACTTATATGTGAAAAGTACAAGTTTAAAATCCCATTACAAGTATAATCCATGTTTGTTAGCTCTACTCGTCGTAGTCTTGTCCATAATCGACTCTGGTCGATGACTACAACAACGAGTTCTTGCTTTCCCTACTTGTTTTAGACGTCGCCTACTCATCTTTTCGTTCCAACCAGAGGTTAACAAGCACACTCTTTACATTTTTCTGAAGAACAAAGAGTGAAGAATTGTATGTTCTCTGAAGTGTTGAGTCAACACTCTCTTCTCTTCCAAAATTTTATCAGAGGATAAATACATATAGCTAATAACATCTACTACTATGTCGCATATGACAAGACCAGCAAAAACAAATTCATGCAGTGCAGCTACTTATTGAAGAAAGTGAAAAATTAGCATAAACGAAGAGCTTTTGGAAAACACACCTCACAGAAGCCTGTGGATTGAATTGTCGTCATCCCCTTCCATAGTTTACATCTGGTTTAACCACAGCTGAAGAAAATGGAACTTCAATTCTCTCTTTCACAATGCACTGATGAGCTTCAACTGGAGAACATACATTGTGTGATCCATTGCTTCCAGCTGCAGACGGTCGAAAAATGTTGAAAACCTTCAAAGAAGAAACTTTCCGTGCAAACTTCGGAGTAAGACCAGTTAAGTGCAGTATGGATACAATGGCAACGACGGTAACCACTGATTTTGCAGCTACACTAGCGAAAGTTCCCAATCCGTTTCTCGAGTTTCTCGAGTTCCTCGAATGCGATTTTGATTGTTTTCTTTCTGATTCAGTGAGTTCCTTTGTAGCTATATTTGTCGTGGTGTCCGTTAGCCCATTAGTCACGGACTCATGTCCAGAAGGGAAGGGATGTGTGTAGCTTTTATCAGGATGGCTTGGATATGGAGGGAGCATGAAATCCTTGTTGTGCTGCACTGTCTCCCTAACAAAAGCTGAAGCCTCATGTATCACTTCCAAATCCTGTCCTTGGTACTTCTTCAGCTTATCCAGTACAATCTTGCGGCTATGCTCGATCTCGGAAAGGGCTACTTCTTTCTCGTACCTTTGCCGTTGTTGTAAATCCTGCAAATTATAAGATACAAGCATTAGAAGGTTTAAATGCATGCTTCCAGTACATTACAATGTTCTATGACTCCCCCGATGCTATCTACAAACGTCGCACTCTCTAGGTCCATTATATTGGACGTACATACAAACTTTATTGTTGTTTAATTTCATATTCATGTTGAAAATGGCTTCTAAAACTACAAGCTGAAGGTAGAGACAACATGGAGGGTCAAAATTAAGAAATCAATTAACTTCTGGACAACGAGTAACAGTTTGGTGAATAACTTATACTGACCTACTGAAAGACAGATCTAAGCAATATCAAAACACATGCCAGCAACTAGGGACGTTGAAGGTTTTAGCAACCCCATAAGTTGCATAACTTGAAGCACTAAAACCACCAACTACAACTGCCAGATACTTGTATTAGCAAATAAATGAAATAAGATGTTCAAATTTAGAGAGAATCATACTCCCGATTCATTTTTTTACTCGAGTACCACAGTCGTAACGATGCACCTGTGGGAGGCATTGAATGAAAGTAGGCAAGATATTACAATGGAGAAGATATGAAGAGAAACCTCTTTTGATTGAGTACTATTAAACTTTACTCAATTGGAGCTTGAATAATTGCACCATTGCTTACAAGGGTTGAGAACACCTCTATTTGTAGAGTTTAGAGAAGATTCTAAATAGCCAACATGAGGAAATAGCTATACATGAACGTGATGAGCCTTTACATATTTCAACTAGACTTGTAGAATGTTTAACCGCTCAAGCCCACCACTAGCAGATATTGTCCTCTTTGGGTTTTCCCTTTCGAGTTTCCCTTGCAGTTTTTAAAACACGTCTACTAGAGAGAGGTTTCCACATCCTTATAAACAATGTTTCGTTCTCCTCTCCAACCGATATGAGATCTCACAATCTACTCCCCTTTAGGGTCCAGCGTCCTCACGGTCACTTGTTTCCCTGTAGTCCCCAACCAATGTGGGACCTCACGTAATGACACAAAATCATCCCATTGGGAACAACCAGTGGTTGAAAAAACGGTAAGATTTTAATATTCCAAATAAGTGACTGCTTGTACTTTTTCTTCACATGCTCCAATGACCCTTAGACTAATCTGCGTGTTCTAAATTATTCAGTATTTGAAAACACCTTCGATTGTAAGGGAGGAACAGAGAGGCAAGATCAACACAATCAAATCAACCAAGTCTATATATAAATCAAACACGGCACAGAAATTTTCAATTATCATCATCCTAAAACAAAAATGCCAAAGAAAGCCGACTAAATCGAAACTCATTCTTCAATCCTCATTCCCAAAACAAGAAAAGGTAAAATGAAACCTGCAATGAAGAGAGCTGATTCTCAAGAGACGCAAGCGCATCGCAGATTTTCAAAAGCCTCACCGATTCCTCATCTTCTTCCTCCGCCTCCCCACTCGAACCGACGCCATTATTTTCATCCACAGCGAACCGATCATCCCGAATGTCAGTTTCCGGCGAACTCGTGGTGGTGTTAACAGAGCCTCTGATCTTCAGCCTCAGCTCCGTCGCTCTTGCTAAAATTATAGCCGTGCCTTGTTCTTCCATGACTCAAACCGAAACCGAAACCTCCAAGAGGGTTTTTGAGAAACATAAATGGGGAAGAATTGAGAGGTACGAAAAGATCGAAGACAATGAAATGAAGGAAAGAGTCTGAGGAGCGGCAATGCAGCTACCAAGTCTGTGGCGGGTGCTTCTTCGTTAGTTGGGATTCGAGTTTCCAGGCTAATCAATTTTAGTCAATCCATTAAACACAAAATTAAAAATTTGTTTAATTGAATTATATTGGTTTTGATTGTTTATTGAGATTTTTAGCCAATGAAAATCTCACATCTCCGCTAATATCATACCATTGTAGAGATTCGTGTTCGTCTAACATGGTATTAGAGTCATGCTCTAAAGTTAGTCGTGTCAATAGATTGGAAAATCCTCAAATATCGAACAAAGGACTTAAGGAAGCTAAAAGCAAATGCTCTAAAGTTAGTCGTGTTAATAGATTGGTAAATCCTCAAATATTGAACAAAGAACTTAAGCAAGCTCAAAGTAAACCCATGAAAGCTTATGCTCCAAGTAATATAATTTTTTATTAATTATCAATTACACGTTAATATCATTTAAGTGACATAAAATGTAATTACTTTTAACATTTTCTGTTTACTTAATTCTAAAATTCAATTAACAAACAGTAGAGGGGTATTATTTTATGAAACTCGGAAAGGAAAAAAATAAATAAATAAAAGAGGAAAAAACAATATAACACGCCCAGTGGGATTCGAACCCTCAATCGCATAATTAGAAGTCAGTCTTACATAATATTAAATATAATTTAAAAGTTGTTCTCTTCGGTAAGAACTAGGGAAATGAGCTAACAGGCCGACCTATGGCATCAAATTTGTAGTTATAAAATTATTTTAGTGTGTAAGAATATAGTACTATGGCCCATGCAGGTTTCGAACCTGCGACCTTCGCGTTATTAGCACGACGCTCTAACCAACTGAGCTAATAGGCCTTTGCTGCATCAAATTTGTAGTTATAATATTATTTTAGTATGTAAGAAATATATTACTACTATGGCCCATGCAGGTTTCGAACCTGCGACCTTCGCGTTATTAGCACGACGCTCTAACCAACTGAGCTAATAGGCCACGTGGTACATAAAATACATTTATTTATTTATTTATTTATTTATTTATTTATTCTAGTTAAATCCTAAAAATGATTGATGTGAAGATAAAACCACGTGGAGAACGAAGAACTTGCTCTTTTAATCCCCACCGTTGATCATCTGTGTTCTTCAATTATTCTGACAATATCAATTAACGTTGTTAGTCCTTTACCTGTCACATTATTATTATTAATTTACCCCTTTTTAAATTAAATTTTGAAAAATTGGAAAAAAAGAATTACCTTGGATAAAAGGGGGGGGGGGGGGGGGG